TCGTCCAGCTCAAGGGCAAGAGGGAGTTGAGGCATTAAAGCGATGCTTTGCAGATCTGCTGATCGATCCACATTCAGCAGGGCATTGAAGTGCTCTGCCCAGCGCCTTAGTACATCCTCCTTGCTTGTTAAGAGGTGCCTACTATCTAGAGCCCTTAAAGGAACCTTTGCATGGTTGGATGTACCCATCAGCTTGCGCACCTCGCTATAGAACTCACCGAGGTGGTTTGTGTCAGGGAGCCATTGCATATGAATAGCTTTGTCCTGGCACCACTTTTCTTTTATTTGTCGAGACAGCTTGCGCAGTTCAAGGTCACTAGCTTTGACCGCCGCAACGCTTCCTTTACGCCTTCTGTGCTGTCGCAAGAGATCACGGTGTTTGTCGAGTGCCGCCCGCAAAACTTCATCATTTCCATCAAACCAGTCTTCATTACGACGGCATTTCCTACCCAGTGCAATTGAAGCGGTATCCATGATATGAGATGATAAAGCTCCCCAGTCAGCATCAACATCACCTGTCTCATTAACTGGCAACAGCTTCTTAGACAAAACTTCAGCATAGTTCTTCCTCACCTCAGGATCTCTTAGCTTCTCTATGTCCAAAGACGCAAGCTTTTTCATAGGAGATCTACGCGGGCGGCGGAGGCGGAGTCGTAGCTTAGTGACAATAAGTCGGTGGTCAGACCAGCAGTGCGCACCACGCATAACACGGGTGATCTGCACTTGGCTGAAATCTCTTTGCCTTACGATAGCATAGTCGATCAAATGCCAGTGCTTGGATCTTGGGTGCATCCATGTTGTCTTGTACTTAGCGGCAAGTCTAAACATAGTGTTCGTAATTGCTAGACCGTATTGAGCACAAAGACTGAGCAGCAACTGACCATTGCTGTTCATGTTGCCGACTCCGTGTCTACCCAGAACTCCAGGCCAAGCCTCATAGTCCCGACCAACCCTGGCATTGAAGTCGCCCAGCAATAGTACCTGCTCTCTGGCGTTTATACTGTCAAGGCAAAGAGTCACTTCCCCATAGAATTTGTCCTTAATGTCATCAGACTTGTCAAGCGTTGGAGCATATACACTGATGACATTAAGGTAATTGTCTTTATCCAGGTGAACTCGCAGTGTGGTAACGCGGTCCGAGATATGTACAGGGTACTCCTCTAATCGCTTTACTAAGTGATTCTTGATGGCAAATCCTACACCTGAATGTCGCGTTTCAGAGGCAGCGGTACCTTTCCAGAAGAAAGTATAACCAGCACCTACTTCCACCAGCTCTCCTTCATCGGCAAGATGTGTTTCGCTGAGAGCAGCCACATCTACGTTGTAGCGATGAAGTTCCCGAGCTACTATGGCGGTCTTGCGTTCAGGGCAGGCGTTGCCATCTCGATCAAGAAGCGTTCTCACGTTCCACGCGCCAAATGTCATGATAGATGTTTTTATAATATTTCTTTTGCAACGTCGACCACGATTTGACTGATGCAGTGGCAGCCGCGGTTACTACCACTTATCAAATGGGACGAGCAATTTTTAGGGCACCTTTTCTAGCCCCCTCCCCGGCTGAGCGGGGAAAGCAGTGCCTCCCTAAACAGGGCTGCTTTGTCATCTCGGGTGCTGCCGAACCCACGCCGTCGCCCCAAACTCGCAGCGCAAGAACGACCACGGTGTGTACTCACACCCCCGAGACCGCCTGTGTGCAGGTATCGGACAAAGCCTAGCTTACATCAGGCTAGACCTCTCTACTTCTACCCATCGCCACAGGACTTTTGCTTATTCGGAGTCCATTAACGGAAGCGGTCAGATACGCAGGATATATTTAGGTGCGCAAACGTTTGCGCTCACGCAGGCGCACACCCTCGTCCTATCCCTTCTTGGATCAGTGGAACGGGAAACCGCTACGACTGAAGAAGGGGTTGGATGTTGTGTCTGGCCGACGGTGACTATATGCCCTCCACCATCGCCCTAGGCCATCCACCTTGCCTTGCTGACCTGCGGAGTCCGCCAAGTCACGTTGCATATCTGCGTTGTGTTGCCTTCCTCGCCAAGTCAGACTTTTTGTGTTAAGCGGGAGGGAACCGCGTGTAGGGATGGGTATTAAAGAGATGAGGAGAAGAGGGAGTTAGGAGTAGTAAGGACAGGATACTGTAGCCACGGGAAAGTAGGTTGTGGTCTATAGTAGCTCCGGGAAGGCGGGATCGCGTGCCCGTGCACTCAGTAATATACTACCGGACAAATAGTATATTTGAGGGCCCCCTGCCTTAGATATGAAGGATAGCTAATATATGGAGATAAAATATGGGGGTTTATAAATTTGCACTACTTCTTTATATTCTCTGAAAGTTTGGGAAATTTCATACTCCTCCGTCCGCGCAATTTTCGTAAAAAGGGATATAAAAGTTTTTGCTTCAAGTATTACGAAATATAGATGGAAAACGCACAATCGAATGTCATGGACGGGTAAATTTATAGTTTTATTTATTTACTAGCTGACCCGGCAGACTTCTTACTGCCTCAATCGATAAATAAAAGACCTAAACATTTGTATAAAATAAACTAAAAACAAACAAAAGGAATCCGTCCGACGGGGGACACATTAAATTGTTATTTTTATTTCATTCCGAGCATTATCATATTTATCTACCTTTTAAACCTTATCTGGACAAATAATTTAAGACAAAAATTAGCCAAATTGGTCCAGCCGTTCTCGTGTTTTAGCAAGAATAACGAACAGCAATTCATTTTTATATACAAGATTTCTATTTAAAGTATCAAGTCTGTTTCAGTTGCAACACATTATACCTGAGACGCAGTACGAACGTGACATGCTTACGAACAACTCGCTCCGCACCCTACGCTCGAATCTTATACCTACGTTATTGTTATATAATTTGTCAGAGACATTTACGATCCTGCGGCAAACATACCTTACGTACCTTGATAAGCGGATGCTGTTATTATTTTGTTTTCCAACTACACTATTCGATTGTTTGAAGCCATGTGTTGAAAATAAAAGTTTTGATACGGAACAATTAATTACCGTAAAAACTGTGTTTAGAAAATTACGTAAAAGGCCCTTAAAACTAGCATCCATTAAAATAGTTCTTTTATTTATTTGTTTCAATAAAGTTTATCGTTTACTTGCATTGATTGTTTTTGGTTTTATTAGCTTAGACTCGGTTTTGCTCGGGTTGGTGTAAAAGTAAAAAATTGTATGTTAGGAACAATATACCTGTAGTTCTCAGCCCATTGAGTTTCTCGCCGGATCTTCTTCGTGGGTCGCGTTTCCGATCCGGTGGTGGATTCTGCGAAGCACTGCTCATGATAAGGCCATTGTTAGCAACACTCCGGTTTGAGCCCCGTAAGCTCACCTATACGTTAGGGCGAAGCTGAAATAGCCTCTCAAGGCTATCAGCATAGGTAAGAAAAAAAGAAAAAAAAAACTGTATTTCTGACGAGGTGTATGCAAAATTTCAAGACGAGTAGTTAAGTTTCTGAAGCTTAAAAAAAGAAACAAAATCACTTTCACTTTTTTAATGTTAGTATGGAGGTTAAAAGAGGTCATCGTCTGGTCCGCTCTGGTCTAATTACGAGAAAATATGACGATAAAAGCATAGATTATCTCACACCTGAGCATTCGTGGACACATTTCACGTAACGTACATTGTAGTTGCTTAAAAATTAACAATGGATATCTCGACCGGTTTTTTTTTACGCCGGACCCTAAATCATCAGATCATCACCCCAAGTGTTGGGGCTGTGGGGTATTCGAGTACAGACTCTCGAGCAAGAGGCTCGCACGCTCATCACGAGCGCACTTATCTGATGCAAATATAGGCAGGCAGCGGCTTGGCTCTGTCCCTGGCATTGCTGAAGTCCATGGGCGACGGTAACCACTCACCATCAGGTGGGCCGTAAGCTCGTCTGCCTACTAGGGCAATAAATTTAGATATTAACAATAATAATAAAGGGGAACAGGAGCGCTTTTACGAGTCTAATTTTAGTGGGTTTGGTGATATTTCAATTCCCCCATATTTTCATCAGCCTGTCCATGGCTGGCCTTGAAATAGTCATATTTTTTTTTTATTACTGCACCGGTAGCGTCTTTTGGTTCTGTTTCGTTAGCCTTAGCGATTTTATTTGTCCTCCTTTTACTCATTGCGACAAAATTAAGATAATAACCAAATAATGTGACAGATTGTTCAATTGTCCAAATGCAAATATAGAGCTAATTACAATTTTCTTTTCTTTTATTTTGCTACCTAATCGTTGGTAGCCTAAGGGGCTATTCAAACTTCACACGGACCATTAGGTGCTTCAACAAAGCTCACGGGCTCAACCTGAGAGAATTGCTAACACTAGCCCTAGTAAGAGCAGTGCTTTAATGAATCTACTACCGGATCGGAATCGCGACCCACTGAGAAGATCCGAGGAGAAACTCAGTGGGTTGAATTTTCTCATATGTTAGTTTACTGAATTGTTGCAACGTTTGAATGAAAGTTTTCTTTGGGGCCCGGTAACGATCTTTAATCTATTAAACATTTTGAAAATCGTTTCTTTTAAAAAATTTGCGTTAGAAAAACAAAGGAGATAATTTTCCACATCAAATAAACCTAATCCTTACGCTATTATAAATATACTAGTTGTACCCGTCCGCTTGGCTGTGCATTTAAAACTAAACATTATTATTTCTCACCCCCACAAAGATTCTCATCATTAACGCCCCCGCAACTGGTGTACGGAGTCCAATATATTAGCCTATCCATTAAGTACATGTATTTTCTACATGGATACAAAGTTTCAAGTCAATCGGATGCACTGTTCTGTAGTTATAACGGAACATCCGTAAAAACCACTGTAGATTTATATATTAGTATAGATAAATATAATTTTGGGTCTGAGAAAGTACTTTCACTACAAAAATGAAATTACAAATCTTTTATCGAAACTACAGCCATGTCATAGAAAAACAGAGGTTTTAGTAAAATTATTCTAGAAATATCAAGAGCTCCGGTAAACCAAACACGAAGAACAGAATCGGCCATAAACAATAGTAAATTTGATATAAAAATCCTAAAGTTTCTTTCGATGTGTTAGTCCAAATTTTCTGTGGCATGCGTCAGAAGGGATCGGTACGTACATAAAATGCAGTGAAGCCCCAAAGGGGGTAGTCACGTACTGAACCCAAAAATCACTGCAGAAATACATAACGTTAGTATCACATGAAAATTTCATAAACGCATGAGTAGAATATTAATATCGATGATCCGAAGTAACACCAAAGATATTGCCAGAGCACTTTATGCTTATACAGAAAATGTGTGTGTGTTTTTTTTTAAAACTCATTAAACTGTATTGGAACGTGTTTCAATGGAAAAGAAGTTGCGTCTCGCTTGCATTTTGAGCGGTGAAAGGCTATGTATTTGGTTTAAGCGATATTTCGCTTAATACGCGACATTTATCTTTGTAATTAAAGGCACGTTTCATTAGGTATTATTATAGCATCCACAATGTATTTAATTGAACTTTAATTAAAATTACTCCGTTCAAATAGCCGAAGAAGTTCTTTTGTTATGATTTTTTTTTTCCAATTTTAAACAGGAGCCTATTGTTTTCATTAATTTATCTGCTTTTTTTCACCTATGCTGATAGCCTTGAGAGGCTATATCATTGTTACCCTAGCGTGTAGGCGAGCTCTCGGGACTCAAGCCGGAGGTGTTGCTTACACTAGCCCTAGCAAGAGCAGTGCTTCGCAGAATCTACCACCGGATTGGAAACGCGACCCACTGAGAAGATCCGGCGAAAAACTCAGTGGGCTGTGTCTGAGAGTTAATTTACTCGTCGAGCCCTTCGTCGCAAGCGACGGGTTCGACGAGAACGGTGACCGGTGCTTGAAGTACCTAGAAGCACCGATAGTGGATCGGGAGGATCCGAGATGACGTGTTTTGGGCGACGTCGACTGCTTTCCATTCTTTCCGCAGGATCGGGAATGTAGTTACCGGCGGCCACGATGAGAGGATTCTCGTATCGTGCCGCTTTATCGAAGTGGGTGTTTTGTGCTGATGTATTATAACATGCTGGCGCCCAATAAATAGATCAACTAACTGGGAGAAAATCACGCACGGTTATCCAGTCCAGTTTCACCGGAACAGGTGGGCGAGCAAAGGCTCAGCCAGGAGGGGTGGGATTTGCTAACAGCTGCCCGAGCGCCTCCGATGGAGACCTAACTCAAGGGCAGTAGCTTCGCGAATGCATCTACTACCGGATTGGAACTACTGAAGTCGTCGTGGCCTAAAGAATAAGACGTCAGGTGCATTCGTATTGAGCGATGCACCGGTGTTCGAATCCCAAGTGGGTACCAATTTTTCTAACGAAATATGTACTCACCAAATGTTCACGATTGACTTCCACGGTGAAGGAATAACATCATGTAATAAAAATCAAACCCGAAAAAATATAATTTGCGTAATTACTGGTGGTAGAACCTCTTGTGAGTCCGCACGGGAAGGTACCACAACCCCGCCCATTTCTGCCGTGAAGCAGTAATGTGTTTCGGTTTGAAGGGTAGGGTAGCCGTTGTACTGTAAAAACGGAGACTTTAAAACTCATATCTAAAGGTAGGTGGCGGCATTTACGTTGTAAATGTCTATGGGCTTCGGTAACTATTTAACACCAGGTAGGCCGTGAGCTCGTCCACCCATCTAAGCAATTTTTTTTTATTGCCCTTGTAGGCAGACGAGCATACGGCCCACCTGATGGTGAGTGGTTACTGTCGCCCATGGACTTTAGCAATGCCAGGGGCAGAGCCAAGCCGCTGCCTACCGAAATAAATAAAAAATACTTGAAAAATGATATTTAGTGCGATTATTATGATATATAGTGAGATTACAGGGAGATCGGAGTTTCTCGCCGAATCTTCTCAACGGGTCGTGTTTTTTTTTTATTTATTGCTTAGATGGGTGGACGGGCTCACCTGGTGTTAAGTGGTTACTGGAGCCCATAGACATCTATAACGTAAATGCGCAACCTACCTT